ACAGCTAAGGGAACAAGGAGGGGACAGGAGAGATACGGGCCTTGTATATAAGAAGCCACTTCTGATTGCAAATTAAATGGGGAAAGAGGACTTGCTGCTTTCTTGCAAGCAGGTGCCATGCAGACTTCGAGCAACACGTGCGCTTTCTACGTCTGGCCCATAGGCAGGAACAGCAGGAGCTCCTGCCCCAGAAGGACCAGGTCCAGGGGGAACACCAGGGGTGAGACTCAGGGTGCCACACAGCCTGGCCCTGAGCATTTGTTTGCTGAGAACAAAGCTAAAGTCAGCTTCTTCTGACCTGAGGGAAACAGATCTCCTAGGTACAACCTGGATGCCACCATCCCACAGCTCACAAGCTCCAGGGCTAGTGGTCACCTTCCTGGCTGCACAAGAGAACCTCTGGGGACTTTACAAATCGTCAAGGATCACCCTAGATGACCTGAGACAGAGTTCCTGCATACTCAACCCTGGAAAGCAGTACTCTTTTAAAAGAGCTTTCCAGATTATTCTAATGTGGTCAGGATTGAGAAACACTGATCCTTCTAATTGCATCCTAAAACTTTTCAGCTGCAGACCTAGTGTTGAACATCTGCTGACATCATGAACAAGATGGCAGAGACATTCCCAACTCAAACACGGAGAAAGGACTTGGCCATCTGGTTTTTTGTTTTGTGGACCCAGGGCCTTCACACTGAATTCCAGCTCCAGTCCTTTATTATTATTTTGAGACATGTTCGAGTTAAGCCAGGCTAGGCTCAAATTTGTGATCCTCCTGTGCTGGAATATAGGCATGTACCACCAGACTTGGTTTGTGTTGGATTTTTTGAGATAGGGTCTTGCTCTGTGGCCAGGCTGACTTCAAACTCCTGGGCTTCTGTGCTCCTCCTGCCTCGGCCTCCCCTCCTGCCTCAGCCTCCCCTCCTGCCTCAGCCTCCCCTCCTGTAGCTAACACTAGAGGAATATGCCACCACAGCCGCCTGCCATCTGATTTTGAGGCCTGGCTTCCCTGTTTACTCACTGTATGACCATGGAAAAGTCACTGAGCCTTTCTGAACCTCCGCTATCCAGGCACAAACAATGTGAACTCGAGATCCTAAATGAGATAATGGATCTAAGTCACCTGGAAGGATCTAGGCACCCAAGAAATACTTCTTTCTCTTCTGCTGTAGAACCCAACTCTCCTGACTCTCCCTGGTATATGATGCATTGTGGTCCCAGACTCCTGAGTTATGCTTCAAAGACATTTTGAATCTGCAGGCTGAGTCCTCTCCCAGAACCCCAGCACTCCCCAACCACGGGGCAGCATCAAGCAGATTGTGGGGTGCTGGCTGAAAAGCAGGTTCTAAATTGGTGGTGCTGGCAGGACCCGCGATCCTGTTTTGGTTCTAAGGCTGTGGTGATGCTGGGGTGGCATGTCCCCTGACCACCTAGGAGCCCCGCTTGGCCAGTCCACCTCCCTGCTGACTCACAGCGCTGTTGCGGTCGGTCTCTAGCTTACTCATCTGTGTCCCCTCCACAGTATGTGCTTCCTAAAGGGATGTTAGAAAAATAAACAAACCATAGAGAAAACCATTTTCTGGCTCAGTAAATACAGTCAGGGTCTTTTGTCCGTCTGTGATTGGCAGCCTCCGTGGTTCATTCCAGAATCACCCCGTTGGCAACTGTGAGAACAGTGTGGTGGAATGGGCCTGTGGCTTGGAGCCTGGAGTCCTGGCTTTGAATCTCCACCCTGCAACTTACCAGCAGGATGACCCTGGGCAAGGTGTCAAATTCTGTGTCACAGCATTCTCATCCAGAAGATGACTGAGGATCATCCTTAACTATCACACAGTTCCAGTGATGCACAAACACATGCTTTAAAAACACGCTTTATAAAGTGCCACCATGGTGACCTACCATCACAGTGACTTTCCTGGAGATCAAGAGCTACTTTTCATGTCCCTAACACCTGAAAGTTGTAACATGTTCAACAGGGAAGTGGTGGGAGACTGGGGCTATGGCAGCGGCTAGACCAACAGGTAGGTCAGCGGTCCCCACTCAGCCAGGGACAGCAGCCATGTGAGGTTTGAGGCTGGTTCCAAGGGAGCTGAAGGGCAAAGGCTTTCTGGAATAGGCTGTTGGGAGTGAGGAAGTAAGGCTGGCTGAGAATCCAAGCAGGGGACATCATACATCAAGCACTTTACTGTGTATGTGGGGGCCAAAGCTAGAAGGGGGAGGGGAAAAAACAACACGCAGTTCCTGATGTCTCCTTCGGCCCAAGCTGAGGTACCCACCAGGCCCAGAGCTGCCCTGCCCATGCTAAGCAGTAATGTTCTACTCTTTTGCCACTTACTGTAAGCCTCAAGCATCAAAGGACATAGGTAGAGCCAGTGGCCTCAGGAAGCTGAGGTTACTGAGGGCACAGAGAGAAATGGTGGCCAGACAGGGGACTGAGACTGGCCAGTGTCTCCCTCTGTTCATCTCAGCCAATCAGCCTCCTCTGCACCCACTTCCGCTATTTCTGACTCCTGCATTTCTTTCTGACATTCCCCACTGCTGGAATGCTGTCACTTCATCCCCATGAGGCAAATGCTAACTCATGCAGAAGGCGTTTTCCCCACTGCCCAGCTTGGCAGCCCGGCCTTCATCCTAGTGCTCTTGTAAGGATCCTATTACCTGCCGTGGCTCTCCAGAAAGGTTCATCCAAGTGGGCACAGTCAGTTACACATTTGTTCTCTGTGTGCCTTCTCCCGGCCAGATTATAACAATAATCCCTGAAATGCTGCCCCACCAGCTACAACATGCCTTCTGGTGAATCATTTCATATAATCCCTACAATAAACCTGCGAGGTATTATCAATACTTTTACAATAAGGAAACCAATGCCTAGAAAGGCCAGACCCCCCTCCAAAAAAAAGTCTGACAATTTGCCTGAGGACATATGACACACGTCATACATATGACATGTGCCCAGCTGTAAATCTGAAATACATCCTCACTTCAGTGCCAAGGCTCTGCCTGGTACCAGGGCACTGCACGCAGTAGTTAAAGGTTGGGACCACCTGTACCTACCTTTGTCACCTCCTGAAAGTTACTCAACCTCTCTATGCCTCAATTTCCTCGAAGTACAATGTGGCTGATCCCCACCTCCTAACTTCGTATCAAAGATCAAAGAAAGTCACAGAACCCAGTACCATATTTAGAATGGTGCCAAACATCATCATTAGTTTAAATTGTTCATATACCTTGGGCGATTCTCCTGGTCTCTTAACTCATTAAGCTTTCTTTCTAATTCATTTTTGTATCTCATAATACATTTGATGGGTAGCCAGTAAAAAAAAAAAAAAAAAAGTTTTGCAGATTGACTAATGCTGTTTTAGGATGGTACTTCCCCTGCCCCCACTCCTCCCTCACTTTCAACAGAGAAATCTTCTCTGCTCCAGTCTACTTCCCTTGTACACATGCACATACACACACAGGGAAATCTGGCCAAGAACAAGTGCTCTGTGGAATGTGAAACACGGCAAAACACATATACTCTCCCGGTTGGGCTATCCTTGGATGGCTAGGTGCGGTGCCAGTCAAGTCTGGGAACGTTCACAACCTAATTTCTATCATTATAGGGGCCAAACACTATCATTATAGTGGGTCATTATAGAGCGTACTTCTCTATTGCTGCAGTTCCTATCTTTCACTCCAGAAGTGAGTTCTTATAACAACTATCTAGCTTTCAATAATTTATATATGTAAAACTTTCTTTTTTCTTTTTTCAGCGGTCCTGTCCCTAAAGCCAGAAAACAATCCCCAGACCCAGCTGGCCTCTGGGTGAAACAGTGAAAGGCCATCTCTCCCTCCCCTGCTGGGTAGGATGACCGCACTTAAAACCCTCCAAACACCGTGGGTGTGGCCACAGGTTTTAGGAATCAGAGGAGGATGAAGTCCCCCGGGGCCAAAAGCTTTATTCTTTGCAAGATTCCATTTATAGAACACTCAGGCCTTCACTATCTTTTCCATCTTTTCTACTTGTAGAACACAAGGGAGAGGATCAGCCCTTGGCAGGAGAAACCCAACTAGAGCTTCAAAGGTTCCACTGGGAGCAAAAGCAGAGAACAAATCAGCCTATACAACTTTGGCACTGGTATTAAAAGGAGTGTTGTACTCTTTGAAATGGATTTTACATACAAATGAACTGATGAATACCATAAACATGTCAGCTTTATTCAGTCCAATCAATACACTAAGCATTAAAACTCGGAGGTAAAAATGGATTGTGGCTTTTTGTTGATAACACTGAGGAATTTTGGCTCCTAGCCCTGGTCAGGCCAGACAAATAGGGCAGTCTGCCTATTAGCTGTCAGGCATATCTTGGGGGATGAAACTAAAACCCCAAGTCAGGGCACAAGGCACCACCGGGAGCTCATCTTTACAAGCGGTGGGGAGTCGGGCTCCGCGCCCCGATCCCTGTGCCCCTCCTCCAGCCCAGAGTCATTTTCCAGGCTCGGCCGCACTTCGCGTTTCCTACATTCCTTTTCAGCGGTCAGACCCTTTCAGCCTCCGGAGAGCGGACAGCTGGGGCTGCAGAGAGCCAAGCAAGAGGCGCCGAGAAGGGGGTGCTTAGGGAGCCGGGAGAAATCAGCGCAACCAGGAGGCGACCGAGAGGGGAAGAAAGGTCCCCTCACCATTTGCGTCCACAGGCCAGCGTCCCACACTTGCCAATCCAAGCGGCTCCCTGTGGGGCACCCCTTTACTCCGCGTCTGCCCCTCCCTCCATCCCGGCTGATCCCCGCACGCTCCCTCGGACGCTGGGGTCCAGCCACCTCGATCGCTGCCCAGGCCAGCAGGGCTGTCCCTGGGTCCCTGACCCCCAGGTCCGCCTCGGTCCGTGCTCCAGAAGCCCCTGCTCAGGGCCCGCAAGCCGGGTCCTCTCCCGGGCCTGCAAGACCCCTCTTCTCTTCCAACACCGTCCCGGCCACAGTACCTCTAGGGCTGCCCCAGAGATGCCCCGGCCCGGTCGTCCCCACCTGAGTCCGCTCGAAGCTCTCCCGCTCCGCAGCCTCCAGCCCCGCGCCGACCCCGCGCCGACTCAGCACCTTGGGCAGCGGGTTAGGCACCTGCTTCATAGAGCTGGCCATCCGGTCCATGTTGCCGCGCCGAGTCAGGAGGGGCCCTCAGCTGCCCCGGGATCCCCGCGGCGCCGCCCGCCTCGCCCTACCCGCGGGAATCCGGCGCTAACGGGACGGCTCCCTTTTCTCACTGGCTGGAAAAGCTGTCTATCTCCGTGAAGCCCCGCCCCTTACTCAGAGGCTTCCCCCACACGCCCCCACCTCTCCGGAGCCTCTCCGCCCATCTGGCCCCTCGGGAACAGAGAAATGTTATGATTGGCTGAGAAGCCCATCTGTCACCATTATCCCGCCCTCCACGGAGGGAGGCGGGACCTGATGGGCTGCCCTGACCTGCCCCCGACGCTCGGCGCACCGCGCCTGCGCTCCCACCTCCCGCGCGCTGCCACCACTGCTGCTCTGGCTTCTCTTGTAAGCAGCTAACTGTCCGTCCCGCGGTGGGGACGGTATGGGGTCTCCCGAGCCATCTCCACCGTCTGGGAGTAGCCTGTTACCTTCTCCCGAGTGTGGGACAGGGAGTGCCGGCTCACCACCGCTTGGGACTCCTGGTCTGCTCCCTCCCGCGTCCGGACCGCTAGCCTCCCTCGCTGACGGCCGCGGAGCCAGAGGTCTCGGAGCGTTGCGTCCGCAGGGATCTGCGGGACTTTCTCTCCGAACCCGCACGCCTCTGCCTCTTTCGTCTATTGAGTATAGCTCCTCAGTGGAGATGCTCAGGAAAGTCTCAAGTTTCCCATCAAACGCTAGTTTGGATGGAAAAAAAAAAAAATCTTTGAAACCCAAAGAGATGAATGGTGTCTTTAAGCCTTGTATTTGCATTGATGCGAACGTGCATTTGTTTTTGCCCTGCTGCATTGGAACACAGGGCCTTGCTCTTCTTAGCAATACTTTTTTTTTTTTTTTAATTAAGAACTTTGGTAGGGGCTGGTGAGATGGCTCAGTGGTCTAAAGCACCTACTTGGAACAAGCTTGGCAAAGCACAGGGACTGTGGTTCAATTCCCCAGCAC